GCGGGTTTGTCCTTAAAAGGAGCTATAACTTTCCAATCTTAAGGTGGATATATGAGTCCCTTTGCACCTTAAGTTGGCCTTGCCGAAAGTTGGGTCGTTTTGAGAGTAATCTCTCCGATAGTCAGGCCACATTGAGATAATCTCTCCGATAGTCGGTCCATTTTGAGAGTAATCTCTCCGATAGTCAGGCCACATTGAGAGTAATCTCTTCGATAGTCGGGCCGTTTTAAGAGTAATCTCTCCGATAGTCAGGCCACATTGAGAGTAATCTCTCCGATGGTCGGGCCGTTTTGAGAGTAATCTCTCCGATAGTCAAGCCACATTCTGTGGACATATAAGTCTTCCAATCTTAAAGTGGACATATAAGTCCCTTTGCACCTTAAGTTGGCCTCTTCGCGGGTTTGTCCTTAAAAGGAACTATAACTTTCCAATCTTAAGGTGGACATATGAGTCCCTTTGCACCTTAAGTTGGCCTCGCTGATAGTCGAGCCACATTGAGAGTAATCTCTCCGATAGTCAGGCCACATTGAGAGTAATCTCTCCGATAGTCGGGCCGTTTTGAGAGTAATCTCTCTGATAGTCGGGCCACATTGAGAGTAATCTCTCCGATAGTTGGGCCATTTTGAGAGTAATCTCTCCGATAGTCGAGCCACATTGAGAGTAATCTCTCCGATAGTCGGGCAAGGATGAGTACTCATCCCCTCACACCCCAAGATTGTCTTCTTCATGCATGGATCATCTCGTTGAACAAGAACATATCTTTCTCGCGTGACCTACAAAAAAAACTGACAAAAGAGAANACACCGAGATATGAATTTTTTGGTGAGACTGCGTAAATCTGGAATTGATAGCGTGGTGCAATATAAAGTTGATTTCAAAATATTATCTGGGACGATTCTGAAGTTGTTTGATCGAGAATTTTGGATATGTTCTAGATCTTGAAGTCTGGTTTTCTTGAAATCAAACAGTTTGCAATTTCGATATTTCTACACCGAGATATGAATTTTTTGGTGAGACTGCGCAAAATTTGAAATTTTCAACATGGTGAAATCGAAAGTTGGTTTCAAAATATTATCCAGCGCGATTCTGAAGGTTTTTGATTCTGAGTATTAGATATCTTTTAGATATTGAATGTCATCAAATGGTTCATTATTTGGACTCTCCCACGACAAGATATGAATCATTTGTTACAAGCACGTAAAGCTGAAAATTATGCGACTAAGATAAAAGTCGAACAATGTAAAGCAAAAGAGAAGCTGAAATATTTAAGCCCTCGAAGTCTCCAAGTTGAAGTCTTCAAGTGTATTCAAGTTGAAGTCCCCAAGTTGAAATCTTTAACCACGTCGGTCTTCAAGTTGAAGTCTTCAAATTCGCTGATCTTCAAGTTGAAATATTTAGGCCCTCCAAGTCTCAAAGTTGAAGTCTTCAAGTCCGTCGGTCTTCAGGTTGAAGTCTTCAAATCCGCTGATCTTCAAGTTGAAATATTTAGGCCCTCCAAGTCTCAAAGTTGAAGTCTTCAAGTCCGTCGGTCTTCAAGTTGAAGTCTTCAAATTCGCCGATCTTCAAGTTGAAATATTTAGGCCCTCCGAATCTTCGAGTTGAAGTCTGCAAAGTCCGCCAAATCTTCAAAGTTTTCCAAGTGTTCAAGTCGATGTCGTCTTCGAGTTGAAGCTTTATCACTTTCCAATCTTAAGGTGGACATATGAGTCCCTTTGCACCTTAAGTTGGCCTCTTCGCGGGTTTGTCCTTAAAAGGAACTATAACTTTCCAATCTTAAGGTGGACATATGAGTCCCTTTGCACCTTAAGTTGGCCTTGCCGAAAGTCGGATCGTTTTGAGAGTAATCTCTCCGGTAGTCGAGCCATTTTGAGAGTAATCTCTCCAAGAATTGGGCCACATTGAGAGTAATCTCTCCAAGAATCGGGCCATTTTGAGAGTAATCTCTCCATGAATTGGGCCACATTGAGAGTAATCTCTCCAAGAATCGGGCCATTTTGAGAGTAATCTCTCGAAGAATTGGGCCACAATGAGAGTAATCTCTCCGGTAGTCGAGCCATTTTGAGAGTAATCTCTCCAAGAATTGGGCCACATTGAGAGTAATCTCTCCAAGAATCAGGCCATTTTGAGAGTAATCTCTCCAAGAATTGGGCCACAATGAGAGTAATCTCTCCGGTAGTCGGGCCATTTTGAGAGTAATCTCTCCAAGAATCGGGTCATTTTGAGAGTAATCTCTCCAAGAATTGGGCCACATTGAGAGTAATCTCTCCAAGAATCGGGCCATGAAAGTAATCCCTCCGATATTTGGGCAGGGGTGAGTACCCGTCCCCTCACACCCTAAGAGCGCCTCCTTCATGCGTGGATCTCGCTTGAACTACAAAAAAAAAGACAACAAAACAAGAAAAGCACAAGAAAAGAAGAAGAAATTACCTTCACGTTAATGCTTCCGAGTCTACAAAACTAGACTCAAGTGGCTTGCAAATACTGCAAATTGATGCTAACAAATACGAGCATACGGGGTTATATAGGCATGGCAGAGACAACTTAAACGAGTAACTTTTGATGTGGGATAGCTGTTCCAATTTGCATTATAAAAGGATTTTGTACTCAAGGCGGCGAACATTTCCTAATTACATGCAAATTGAAAAAGGGACGTTTGCAGTGTTATAATTTTAGTAAAGTAAGGAAAGATATCCTAGCTGACTCCTTCGATGGTTACAGCTAATCTACGGGAGCTAGCTTAAGTGACTTCTTATGTCATAGCTATCCAAAGATCAAATAAAGTCTCATACAAGTTTAGGTGAATCGTAACTTAGGCTTACGGGGAAAAGAGGCATGTTACTTTGCTGGGAGATCAAAGAAGACATAATTGTCTTACTCCAATGTGAATGCAATATTTTTTAAAAAAAAGTATCTTCCTCGAATGAAATAAACCCGAGCTAATACTTCAAGCCTAGTCTTTAAAAGTTAAAAATATTGACGAGTCTTGAAGTAGGGGGCATTTGTAGGCATATAAAATTTATTGATTTCAAATTCAATAAATAATTTGGATTATATTTTAGATATATTAGTCCAAATAAATATTTTGGGCTAATATTTATATAATTGGGTTAATTATATAAGACCAATATTATTGGGCTAGCTCATTTAATTGGGCTAAAGGTAATGAGCCCACTTCATTAAGCCCAATTTGCCATCTTCCTAGAGGCCCAGTTTGGTGTCACGTGTTAAATGACATGGCACGCCAAGTCAAACGGAAGAACCAATAGGATCATGCCACGTGGCACAATGACAAGGCATGCCAAGTCACACTAAAAGGCCAATGAAATCGTGCCATCTGTGCAAGTGACATGTTCTGGCCAATCAAATGCGTCCATGTCACACTTCAATTTGATTGGTCCGAAAGAGTTTGTTCGTATCATAACTCTTCCTTTCCACAACTATAAATAGGGGTCTTCATAACTCAGAAAAGACACCAGAAGTTATAACAAGAAGCAAGAAAGAGCTCGTGGATCAAACGCTGCAAATTCCTCCACAAGTTTCAAGCTTCTAGCAATCAAGTTCAAGTTCAACAAATCAAGTCCAAGCTCAAGAACGAAGAACAAATCAAGTTCAAGCTCAAGAACGAAGAACAAATCAAGTTCAAGACCAAGAACGAAGAACAAATCAAGGTTCAAGGAGTGCGAGTTCAAATCAAAGTTCGTGCCAGTTGGATTCAAGATCATCGTTCGTGGCGACAAACATAGATTCAAGATCAAGCTCAAAGACCCTTGAATTTATTTACAATTGGAAAGAAGAATCAGAGGATTCATAGAGATTGTAACACTCAAATATTCGAAATAAAATACTACGATTGTTGCTATATTTTTCGGTCTTGATTTTATTTTCTCGACGCAAATTTATTGTCTACAGTTATTATTAGAAAGTTGAAGAAAAAAAAAAAGCGATTCAACATTTTTTAAAGAAAGAAAACCGTTAGAGAAGTAAGAAAGAGGGGAAGGGGAAAAAGGAAAAGTTACAAATAAAATGGTTAAAAAAGGAAAAAAATGGAAATAAAAGACGAAAATTACATAACAGACTCATATAATAAGATATTTATATGCACATAATAAATGTACAAGGAACTAATCATGTCTTAAATTTGTTAAACATATGTACAGAAAAGGTTTTTCTTGAAATTCTTTTCCTTATTTAATTTCTTTTAAGAAAAATAAAAGTATTGCTTCACTTATATAGATTATACAAAAATCAAGTATTTTTGGAAGACTAAAAACTCTAAGTGAATGGAAAATTATGAAAAATGTATAAATTTAAGTGTGGATAATATAATTGGTTAAAACTTGAAATATTTGAATTTGAAGATAAAAGAAAATTCATAAATTTTGGCATTCGTAAATTTCTAATAATCCGCGAGAAGCGCGGGTGATTCACTAGTATGCTGATAAGTTTAGTAACAAAGTAGTACTCCCTGCGTCCCAATTTAAGTCATTTTTTCAGATTCAAATTTCTTAATTTTGACCGAGTATTTAGACACAAAGTTTTTAAGTTTCTCGAAATAAGATTTAGATATTTGTAAATTACGTAAAAAGTACTATAAGTCACGATAATTAATAATTCGAAATACTTAAAAGGCATATGAATAAATTACGATCAAATAATAATTTTTTTACTCTTGAAATAGTATCGTCACATAACATTTAACCTTAAATTGAGACAGATAGAGTAATATATTACCAAGTCATGTAATATTTAAACCTTAAAGTATTATATTCCCCGTAAAGAGAATGTTAATCACCCAATCCAAACAACCTCCTTTTTACTAATCCAACATATGGCTGTAGCCAATATTTCCTTTTTCACGGTTAATTAACAGTCGGAGTTTGTTAAATATTGGATGGAAATAAAAAATATTGAGTTTTGATAAATTTTAAGGACCAAAAGTGCTCAAAAATATATTTAAATAGGCTATTTTAAACCTACCTCAAACATGAGGGATTTGATTATTTTTGACATTTTCTCCACCTCCTTCGTTCTACTCAAAATCACTCATTTTCCCTGAAGTCTCCATTTGCCTACTTCGAAAAATGGCTATCGCTAATCTGCAGAGATTCGCTTCACGAATCGCTCGAAACCCTTCAATTTCTTCCTCCTTCAGAGCTACAATCGCTCGATCTTCCGCCACCGCATCCTCATCTCCATCCCGCTCCGGTTCCGCCAAAGTCGCCGATCGGATCGTTAAGCTCTTCGCCGTTGACCCGGACGGCCATAAACGTGAGATTATCGGACTCTCGGGTCAAACACTCCTCAAAGCCCTAACAAATCACGGGTTAATTGATCCGGATTCTCATCGCCTTGAAGATATCGACGCGTGCTCTTCCGAGTGTGAGGTGCACATTGCTCAGGAATGGCTCGAGAAGCTTCCAGAAGCTTCCTATGATGAACAGTATGTTCTCAAGAGGAATTCTAGGGCTAGGGTTTTGAACAAGCATTCGAGGCTCGGTTGTCAGGTGGTACTCTCACAAGAGCTTCAAGGAATGGTTGTGGCAATTCCTGAGGCTAAGCCATGGGATATTCCATAAAAGGTGAAAATAAATACTTTTCGAAGTCTATGAACTGGAATTTTATTGGTTTGAGTTAATATTATGTGGAACTTGTGGACTTGATAGGCAATTTCTGTCAAAATTGTCTGAAACTTGTCAACTTTGTTCTTTTTTAAACGAATGCTGTCTTTGAACTGGAAATTTAGTGCTTTGAATTAATAATTTTGGAACCTTATGACACTTGAGAGGCAATTTGTGCCAGAATTGTCTGAAAGTTGACAACTTTGTTCTGTTATATGAATGCAACTGGAATTTTAGTGGTATGAATTAACAATATGTGGAACTTAAGGACATTGAAAGGCAGATTTCTGTCGAAATTGTCTGAAAGTTGAGAACTTTGTTCATTTTAAATGAATGCATGAATATCTTTCTTGGTTTATGAACTGGAAATTTTAGTGCTTTGAGTTGATAATATGTGGAACGTATGGCACTTGATTGGCAATTTCTAAAACACTCTGAAAGTTGACGACTTCTGTTCGTTTTAAACGAATACTTTCCCATTTCCTGTATGAGTTTTCTCTAATATGAGGATAAGTTAATTTACTGGTAGAAGAATGAAATTGGTTTGATAGAGCGGAATGGATATACAAGATTCATATAGCTGATGCCAATTAGTTAGTGATTAAGGCATAGTTGTGCTGCTGGATGTGCCTATAACTATTTATAATCTATCCTCTATTCATTGTCTATTACCATAGTACGTGCTCATTTAGCCATATGTCATTGCATAATTCTCTCTTTAATGAATATTGGCATCTCCTCCCAAGTCCTTTTTTGCTTGTACTTATGTCTATCTACCTTTGAAATGCTTCTTATTACCAGCCTCCTTTTCATTGTGCCACCTCTGAAAGGCACTCAGACTTACCTGGAAGTACATAAACTTTATAGTTCATCAAGAAACTAGGTCAAGAACTTAAAGTGTACAACAAAGTCTGTTGCCTGCAATTGTAATTTCCGCATACGCTTGAGAGAAAATCTTGAACTAGCAAATTCAATTACAGAAGCCAGAAAGGTTCCAGCATACTTACCTTTTCTCAAAAGAAAAGAGAGACTCAAAAGTTTCACCTTTTAGTGTTCATTAATGATTCACCTAAAGTTCTTTAGTAGTGATTGATGCGTAAAGAATGAGGTGATAACATTGAGCTCAATATAGTCCCTAGCGAATATCATAGGGGTTAGGGATTATCAGTCAAATGTTTTTGGACTTCTGTTGGGATGTACATCAGTACATCTCCCCAGAAAAATTGTGTTAGTCTGATCAAAATCTTGTCAAGAAGTAACTGTAAGACCTTCAAGTTCCATTATTACCAATATTAATTTGATGATCTTCCAGTCGAGTTCTTGGTTGTTACGTTTGTGCCTCAATAAAGTAGAGTTTCTCCCGTGATCTAATGGCTCAATAAAGTTCTGAATCTAATGGCTCTAATCCAATCTCTGGATTCTCTCGAATAGCAATAAGACAAAATTGCCATGGATTTAACAAATTCATATGAAATCAGCATTTAGTGCTAAATCCCATGAAATCCTCTCGGAGTTGTAAAAATCTTGCTTCATAACGGCTATATTACCGGTTCCAGCTATGAAACCACTCAACCCCACCCTCGAAGAGGCTTCTATAAAGCCTCTATGAAGAGCAAGGGATCACTGGAAAAACACTTCACTGATCGGGAAACTTTCCTGGATCCTAATCCTCCTTCACTCCTCTCTTTTCACTGTCTCAAAACGCCCACTAAAAAGAAACCGAAACCCTCAGTTTCGTGAAAATCCGTTTATGTAGCTTCAATTTTCAAATGAAAGATTTATCTTCGACAACTTTCTATATCTGTTGAATATTGAAGAATCTTGACCAATACTGTCACAAACTGATGAATTATCGTGATATATTCTACAAAGTTGATATGACTTTTGATGGTGTTGAATGGATGCATCTTGATTGGAATATTTTTTGTTTGAAAATTCACAAAGGATAAATTTCTTGATGAGAGGGGAGTACAACAGAAGCCAGTGATGCTGCTGCAAAGGGTTCTCCCCAAGAGCGAGCTCAAGAAGCTTTTCTAGTCTAAGAATGGCCATCATCCTTGTTCAAGACCACCAACCATAGAAAAAAAGGTGGTAAAGATTTGTAAATATTGAAAGCTGAGGTCAAGGTGGAAGTAGCAGATTCAGAAGCTTCTCTCTTCCCTTAGATCTCGACTTTACTTGCAAATTGTTATCACACTTTTGTCCTTGTTTGGTGGTCTTGAAGCATGATCATGACCATTCTTAGAGAAACTTCTGGAGGCTAGTTCTTGGGGAGAACCCTCTGCAGAAATAGAAGCATCATTGGCTTTCTGTTGTACTTCCCCATCGAAAAATTTATCCTTCGTGGATTTTCAGCAAAAAAATCCAATCAAGGTGGTGGTCTCATTCAACACCATCAAAACTTGTATCAACTTTGTAGAATATATCATGATAATCCATCAATTTGTGACATTGTTGATCAAGAATCTTGAAGATTCTACAGAAAATGAATGCTGTCGTGGATAAATCTTTCACAAAAATTTAAGCTACATGAGCAGATTTCACGAGAGAGACTCACGGATAGGAAAGAAGAAGCATAGCTTTATATGAGAAACAACCTCTTGCAGAAATACAGGGTAAGGCTGCGTACAATAGACCCTTGTGATCCGGCCCTTCCCGGGATCCCGCACATAGCGGGAGCTTTAATGCACCGGGCTACCCTTTTTAGCTTTATATGAGAAATGATTCTTCGATGCAAAATACAAAGATAGGAGATGGAGATGAGTTGTTCTCTGAAGGTATGGGCTGTTTGAGCAATGGCCAAGTGTAGATGATAGATATAAATATGCAGAGTCGCTGTTTATGAAGTCCATCTCTAGTAGGAAATCAGCCTGGTACCAAAGTCGTAACAACCACTGGCTTCGTGACAGCTCCATTCTTTTATAAGATTCTGTTCTTGTGCAAATAAAAGTCTGCTGCTGTGTTTGCAGGTTACACTACCCCCTCCTCAAAGTTTGATTCTACTTTTGCAATACCATGGTCAGATTCTTGGGTGGATTTGTCAACTCAATGATCCACTCAATCTGATGACACAAGCTTGCAAGAAAGAATTGTACTGGCACATCTCATCAACCATTTTAGCATAGCAACTTATAATATGCTTTCAAATTCTTCATTGAGTTTCCTATTTGCTTGGGATCTTGTTCTGGTGCTTATCTATTTCAGTATTCGACTTTCTTTTTTCTGAATACTTGGAGCAAAAGCACTCTATCCAAAACAAATCATGTTTCTAGGCAATATCTTTGTTTTCGAGAGCAATGCGATTTTGTTTCCTGTACACTCATGCATTAGATCTTTAGTTTCGTACTCTTGGAGGACACACAGTTACATTCTTATACTTCTTTATCTCCAACAAAAACTGTTGCGGAACAGTCCAGTGGTCAATAGATTGATATGAATTCCAGTTGTCCATTGCTGTTTAGTTGGGTACACCCCCCCCCCCCCCCCTAAGTATGTGAAGAATATCTGCAGAGAAGAAAAGACTTCAGGAAATAGATAAAATATTTGTGATTTGAAGAGTTTGAGCCTGCCTATGAGTTCTAATTCAATGCCTCCAGAATCCAGAGAGATAGATTTTGCTTCATTCGGGCTATAACTTAAAAAAGGTATGAGTTCAGTTCATGGTAGTGCTTTTAGTCGGAGAGCATTACTTGCAAACAAGTCAATAATGGAATGAATAATAACTGGAACTTAACTGTATTAGATTTGGAAATCTATTAATGGCTTCCATGCCAATTGAAAGGCCGTGGACATTGACAGTAGCTGTGATAGAAATTTTATCATCCCTTGCTCCTATATATCAACTAATTTAATGAACTAGATTTCATAATATCTCTCCTGGTTGACAAATGTCATTTTGGTTCTTGGTTTTGTTCCTTTAACCCATGTTAGACTGGAAAGATTATTGGTATATGGTGAACACTCTGGGTCGTTTGGTACAATGGTGGGATATACCATGGGGTGGAATATGCCATGAGATTAGCAATCCCACCTTTTATGGGATAACTAATCTTGCCATTTGTGTAGAAGTTATTCTGTGATTAGCTAATATGTTAAATTAAATATGGGATAAAGTTAATTTCAAATTTTATCCCGGGATTATTACTCTTATTCTTGTTCTAAACGACCCCTTAATTTGTATGAGTTACTGCAAGACACAAACCTATCACTATCTTTTGCAGCTGGACATGAATAACGTTAGTACATGTGAATCACTATCTTTTGCAGCTGGGCATGAATAACGTTAGTACATGTGAACCATACATTCGATAACTTACGAGTTTACGTCCATCCTGGGCTGTGTATAGTTTCCTTTCGATTTTTCCCTTGTAGCCATTACCTGAACTCGTGCAAGTGTGTCACTCCCCCTAAACTTACTTGACAAGAATACTTTCTCGTGAACAAACACAGCCACATAAGCAAATCAGAACACACGTGTCATCTTAAATTCAATAGTAACATTTCTAGATACGAGAGCAAGAGACTTTCTGTCTGCCAAGTGCTATCCAATCAATATTTGCAAAACATCCGCCACAAACCAAGGAGTATCTCAAAATCAGATTCAATACATAGTCTTCCCATTTATCCAACAGCCACTTATAACGAATTCATCGCTGAATCAATCAATTTCTCCAACCTATATTTAGCTGGATACTATTTTTAGTATATTTTAAGTGGTCCAATCCATATTAATGCCCCCCCCCCCCCCCCCAACCATCTCAGCTCACGTCTACAGACATGAGATCCACATATATAACATCCTTTCACAGATATCCACCAATTTTGAGACCCTTTTAAAGGTCCTCCTTATTCCTTTAGTCTTAATTATATAGATAGTAAAGTCATAAATACCAACCAAGAAAATAGAGTCCTATATTTTTTGAGAGGCTTTTCTATCTTATAAGAGAACCTCAAACAAAATTCATTCATTCAACGAAATCAGTGGGTGTCCTAAAACCATATCTGTTTTTCTCCATCTTCATTCTTTCGTTTATATCATTCAAGATCATAAATCTTGACCAAACCCCAAATCCTTTTTCTTTTATATTAAAACCTACAAGGGTTTAAATCATTCTCTTTTTAATTCCTTTATTTCATTATTACTACTTCTATCTCATCCAAGAAATGGACTCCGTAGAACTACAAAGAATTTTTCAAATGTTTGATCGTAACGGAGATGGAAATATTACAAAAAAGGAGCTTAGCGTTTCTTTACAAAACTTGGGAATACATATTGAGGAGAAAGAACTTGTACAAATGATCGAAAAAATAGACGTAAACGGAGACGGATACGTAGACATAGATGAATTTGGAACATTGTACAAGACTATTATGGACGAGAAAGATGAAGAGGAAGATATGAGAGAAGCTTTTAATGTGTTTGATCAAAATGGTGATGGATATATTACAGTGGAAGAGTTGAGATCAGTTTTGGGATCATTAGGGTTGAAACAAGGCAAAACTTTAGAAGATTGTAAGAGGATGATAATGAAAGTGGATGTGGATGGTGATGGAATGGTTGATTTTAAGGAATTTAGACAAATGATGAAAGGTGGTGGATTTGCTTCCTTGAGCTCATGAAAGTTTATGAAACGAAATATGAAAAAAGAAAGAAAAAAAAAAGGATATATAATTAGTGCTACTCTTTTTGTAACATGTGGATTTTGAATGAATCAATGCATGTCATATTTCTTCAATCTTGTGATCAAATACTTGTTCGACTTTTGACATATTTTCTTTTCCGATTTCATCTCTCCCATAGTGATATAATAAATATCTTTTCAAGAATTCTTAAAAACCAATCACTCAACTAACTACATCTCAATATCAAATCAAGTTAGAGTCGTTCCTTTGTATCTATCAAGAGAGGTGAAAATAACACGAGATAGCCATTTTTCGGACTGGTAATCGATAAATAGCCAGCCTTTGCAAAGTCATTGTAAAATAGCCACTATTTTTGCTGAAACACGAAAAGTTCTAGCATAATATACTGGATTATGGAGCTCATGCGTATAAACTTCCAGCATATTATGTTGGAACTCCAGCACAGGGAAAGTTCCAGCATAATATACTGGATTATGGAACTCATGCGTATAAACTTCCAGCATATTATGTTGGAACTCCAGCACAGGGAAAGTTCCAGCATAATATATTGGATTATGGAGCTACTGCGTTTAAACTTTCAGCATATTATGTTGGAACTGCAACACACTATGAAATTCCAACACATTATGCTGGAATCTCATATGCAAAAAATTCAAACTCCAGCATATTATGCTGGAATATTTCCGAATTTTTAAGGGTGTGTTTATATAGATTTTATCTTTACATGAAAAAGTGGCTAAATTTCGATTACTTTTGAAATTGGCTATTTTTCAATTACCAGTTATAAATTTGGCTATTTTTGATTTTTCTCCCTCAAGAGAGGTAGTCTCTGAAAACAACAAATTGGAAAAGGAACGCATTGCATTATGTAGCTCAAATTAGTCTAAGATTTTAAATGAGATTTTTTCCTTCCTATACCATATATGAAACTTTATTACCAAAAATGTGCACAGTTTCTAATTTACCCGCCCTGTCCACATTTTTCCTACAATTATTATATCATTCATTAAATACTAATTATTAGTAGCTGAATCTTCCTAATTAGGCGTGCTAAAATTCAGGAACAGAATCTTCTAATTGATTTAGCCACAAATCAAACCTGTTCAAAAGCTCAATTCGTCGAAATCAAATCTGTTCAAAAGCTCAGATCTGTTCTTAAATATTTTCGCTTAAGACACAAATCAAAAGCTCAGTTCGTCGAAATCAGAAGCTCAATTTCAAATTGTAGAAATCAGTTCTGCAAAAGCTCTGTTCGTCGACATTCTCTCTACATCTCTCTCTATTTCTCAATCGCAAATTTCAGTAATACAAAGCAAATGAAAAGAGAGCAGCAATTCCACCATTGACAGCCATTAAAAAGCTTGAAAGCTTTGAATTCAAATTTGGGTTTTCAAAAATCATTATTTGTTTGAATTGAGTGTTGTTGTAAATAATCGGAAATATGTTTTGGAGTTTATATCTCAATTTTGAGGGGTTTTGGTGAAGATTAGACTTGGTTTTGACTGAATTTCAGATTGAAACTCGAAGAAGAAGAAGAAGAAGAAGAAGACATATTGCAGAAATTGTAGATAAATTGTAGATAAATTGTAGATTATTTGTATTCTGATTGTAGATGCTTTATTTTTTGTTTTCACAAATAAAAAACGGCTAAAACTTCTACAAATCTTCTGAAAAAATGCAATTATGTCAAAAATTCCAATTATGCTACAATTGAATGGGAATTGGGATATAAAAATTCAATGTACCCAGTTTGTAGATATTTTGTAGATAAATTGTAGATTATTTGTATTCTAATTGTAGATGCTTTGTTTTCTGTTTTCACAAATCAAAAACGGCTAAAACTTCTACAAAAAACGCAATTTTATCGAAAATCCCAAATTAAACTACAATTGAATGGGAATTGGGATATTAAAATTCAATCTACCCAGTTTGTAGATGTTTTGTAGATAAATTGTAGATTATTTGCATTCTGATTGTAGATGCTTTGTTTTCTGTTTTTACAAATCAAAAACAACTAAAACTTCTACACTAATTATTTGATCGCGTAAAGAAATTAGACACGTATGCCATTCATTATTCTTTTGGATTCAAGAACGTTGATTTTCACGTTTCTGCTTCCTCCATTCCCATGGCATTTCAGGATTTCTGGCCGCCCACAAGCCAATACGTTTTGCTCGAGCTTCTTTCTCCCACTAAAACCATGTAAAAAAGTTCTTTAGAAAGATTGCATTGGTCAGTCTATAGCGACATGAAATCTTAATTACCTTTTCCAAATATGTTTTAAGTCATTTAATACGGCATTGAACCTAATAAAAACACGATAGAAAATGAAAACAAAGGCGGGCACTACGAAGTTAGGTGAGGGTGAGGGTTTGGGAGAGAGAAACGTGGGAGGGGTGGGATATACGGTACCTTAAATTAAGGAGGGATATACCTGCATTAATTGTACCCTTAAAATACACTATGGTATAAATTGGTAATTTGGTATACTAAGTGTAATTAAGTCAAACCTTAAACATTGAGGGTAATAAGGTTTCCTATGTTGCATAGGAATGTAAAAATTCCATTTTAAATTAGCCAACTTAAGCTATATCCGAAATGACCTGATAATGAATAACTATTTTTATGAGCTAACTTTGACACTCCTAGCAATCAAAACCATATTTGTTGCATAATATGCTAATGTAAACAAATTACCGAATAATGTTGCTACAAAATATGGTTTATCCAATTATGCTATTTGTACCAATTAACTATGTGCAAAAGATTGTAGAAATGACACTATATTACCGCTTAGAGCACTCCTATTTAGAACTTATCCAGATTATAAAAATTATTTAAAAAATTAGCCTCTTGAGCCAGGGGTCTATCGGAAACAGCCTCTCTACCTTCGTAAGGTAGGGTAAGGCAGTATACACTCTACTCTCCCCAAACCCCACTTTGTAGGATATCACTAGGTTTGGTATTGTTGTTAAAAAAATAGCCATTTTTAGCAAACTAGAGGACTCATGCATGCTGCTGCTTCATCAATTTGAATTTGACGCTGAGGTGGCTAAATTTGAAACTTTATAAATTTCGGCTATTTATTAAATAGGGGATCCTAAAAGGCTATTTCTGCACTTTCTCCCAAAATGTAGTGATGGTTTGGGCCATTAGCGAAACTGTACTAGCCCAGTCCATTACCTTGTTCATTTTCTCTCAAAAAGGCCTGCTTTGTTCCAGAAAGATTGAAAAATGCTCGGAAGAAGTTTTGTTCCGGCGACGACGCTCTGCAAATCACGGCAGCTTCAACATCTCTTCTTCTACCCCTTCATTTTCCAACCCGTTTTAGCCCATTCCTCTCCTCACCAAACCAGGTATTTCTCCTCTCTCTCTCTCTCTCTCTCTCTCTCTCTCTCTCTCTCTCTCTCTCTCTGGTATGTGTGTGTCTGTACTCTTCTCCTATAAATGTTAATTTGAACTCATACATTTACACTGACAAGTGCTTAGCTCGAAGTAATAGTTGTGCTAATTTCATGATATAGTAGTCTTTATAATGCAATATGCAAGGTTTTTGAGAGAGGAGGTACAGGGCCAAATTTTAGAGTACAAAAGTGTGATATTGGATTGGCAAATTCGGCTCGGTATTTCTGCACGAGTGGCAAATCCGGGGAAATGTCGAATGGCAGTGGAAATGATGCTGTTGCAGTTGCAGAGACTTCTGGTGAGTTTAAAGAAGATAAAATCAAGAGGAAGAAACTCAAGGGTAAAAGAGAGGTTGTGAAGTGGTTGAAGTTCTTCAGGTGGAAGAAGAAGAAAGAGCTCCAAAGAATGACTGCAGAAGAGAAAATCCTCTTCAAATTGAGCAAGGTAATGTTTTTCTTGTAGCATGTTTGCTTAGTTTAGTGGAAGTTTTGTAACTTGATGTTTGAAATACTTATCCTGCATAGATTTCGGTGAATTCAATCTATTTGAAATACCATTCTCCTTTTCTTTTGACAACTCCATTTTAAATTGTCTTTGCATGTTTATTTTCTTTGAATGGATCAATAGATTATACCTCAATCTGCCCCCGGGTTTTGGTCTAGTGGTAAGAGTGTAGCAAGTCATGCATGGGTTAGGCGCACGTCACATGTTCGAGCTCTGCGACAGACAAAGCTTGGTATTTAAGTGGAGAAAGATATAGGGGTGGGCCCTATTATCCATTGAGTTTCAAATCGTGCACCATTGGTTCTTGGGGATTTCACTGTTATCAAAAGAAAAGCAAAAAGGAAACAATACCTTAATCCCAACTTAATTAAGGTCGGCTATGTGAATCTTCTATGTCTATTCCACTATGTCCAACTGCATTTCATTCCAACACTGGTAAGTATGTATCTATAAGGCAAATAAGGATTCTATAAACCTAGTGGTTCTGTAACACTCACAGTTATCCCTACACTGACATTCAAGTCTTGCACGTGCCTAAAAAGAATCTCGACAAATATGGATCTAATGTAAGTGTAGCAACAAATAACTCTTGATTCCCAACTAGTTGGTATCACCATTATAGATCTTTTGGTTCCATAATATTTTGTTTTTAGTTAAGGCCACATTTCTTCAAAGAGATTGTGGGTCTTTTTGTTTATTTTCTTTATTCTGAATAAAGTTCATGTGAAAGGACTAGTTATCTAGATATGCCTATTCTAATATACTGTTTCTTGAATGTATTACCCTTTTCCATTTCAGAAAGTAGAAATTATGTGTACCTTATGTACATCTTTGTTGGGGTTGAATAATTTAATGGACTGTTGGAATTAATCTAGTTAGGTCAGATGGATATACGAGTTTTGCTGGTTGTGGAGTCATTTGCAAATTTGGAAGTTGGAACTGTACTTGTTGTAACTCAAGTCTCTTCTCCTATATGCTTACCAAGATATGTTAAGGACTTAATCTCTGTATGTTCAATTGCTCTATGGTAATTTTGGATCCAACACAAATATTTTAATGATCTATGGATGGGGTTTACTGTCTCTTTAATGTGTACTTTTAAATACAATTCAAGCTCTTATGAGGTGGCAAATTTCATCTTTCTAGGCAAGGAAAAAAGAGGAAAGGCTTCTTGAAGCTCTGAAGAAAGTTGAGCCCAAGGAGATATCAGAAGCTACTCACGACCCAGAAATATTGACACCAGAAGAACACTTCTACTTTTTGAAAATGGGGGAGAAGTGCAAGAATTATGTACCAGTTGGAAGACGTGGGATATACCAGGGTGTGATACTTAATATGCATCTGCATTGGAAGAAGCACCAAACTCTGAAAGTGGTGGTGAAAACATTCTCTCCGGAGGAGGTTAAGGAAATTGCTGCAGACCTTGCAAGATTAAGTGGTGGAATCGTTCTTGATATCCAGGATGATAACACCATTATAATGTACAGGGGGAAAAACTACTCCCAACCACCAACCGAGATAATGTCTCCAAGAAGTACTCTTTCTAGGAAAAAGGTTCTCTTACTCGTCTGCTAATTTTTGCGTGTGCAATTTTTCGGTGTTTGTCCTGAATGAACCCCATCTTTTCTCTCTCTCTCTTATTTGGTATTGCGCTTTGTGTACAGGCCTTAGATAAATCTAAATACAGAGATTCCTTGAGAGCTGTTAAAAGATACATTCCACGCCTTGAGCAAGATCTCGAGCTGCTGCAATTGCAAGCTGAAAACAAAACTGGTGCTCCTGATAATAATCAAGAGACTGGCTTCGAGAATTTTAGCCGTGCACACTATCCCGACCAGCAAGTTGGGGCATCTGATAAGCTCAAAGGGCTAATGGTTGAAAATGAAGAGCAGGGTGAAGAAGATGATTCCATGGTAGATACAGATATAGGCTCGGTTTCTGAAGATCTTTCAGATATCTTTGAGACGGACTCTGAGGAAGAGGATAAGGAGAAGATCGAAGAACCTCTTTACTTGGATGTGTTCGAAAAGTTTCCAGTGCAGGGCAATGGAGATGCACATGATTTTGAGGAGAATTTACTTCAGATATCTTCTAACTCGGGGAGAGAGAAATCATCAGGTAAAGATGTCGATACACCAGCTCTTGATGAGGTTGATAGAATGATTCTGCAAGCTGTATCACTTTTGAAGAAAAAGAGGAGATGAGTAGTGATTTATTCATCACCAAAACTTGGAAGCTCTATCGGGGGTTTCCCTCTGCCTAGTGGGATTTGTTAAGCTAGATGGATGGTGAGCAGGTAATGGTCAACAGTCTGCATGCAGATAAGTAGCAGCAACTATATCCAGGTTCGTCATCTGGTTCAGTTTCGTCCCTGTCAATAGAACTCTTAGGACCTTGAGTACAGACAATGAGCAGTCACAGCTGTTTACTGCTTCTCAACAAGAGCCCAGACTTTGTCATAAAGACCAGTGGTGATGATGACGAGTGACGGCGAACTTAAATAGCATAGCATCTACTGGGATCACTCACTCATTAGCTGCAATTTCGTTCTGGGGTTCCTGCACAATGGGATTATTGTTTTCCAAGGGTTGATTCTTCCCTAATCCAGAGTGGAAGTTCACATGTTTGAGCAGATAAGAAATACTACTATAGTACTCTTTTAGGTGTAAAATTCAAATCTAAGCTCCTCTCTTTGTTTCCCCTATTGGCGGCAAAATTGTTTAAACAAACGGTTAACCACCCATATTATCCACTAAAAAATGGGTTGGATAATGAACTTTTTAAAAACGGGTAAATGGATAACTAATAAGTTCAACTTTTACATTTGTAAACCTTCAAATTGGGGGTTTCTCAAGTTTGGGGGACTAGAAATTCTCCTAAAAGTGATCATATTCAAGAAGCCATAGATAATATACTCATATTATCCGCCGGTTAATCTGTTTTTTATTCCTATTAAATATGGATCGGGTCAAATAGTTTATCCGGGTTTTTCATTACCCGTTCTTGACCCATCTCATATCCGACCCCGACCCGACTGTTTGCCACCCCTAGTTTCCCTAACCAAACTCTTCTAGTAACTAATTATAGTACGTGATGAGAAAATATTTTTGTCAAATGCGTTCTCTCGAAGGTGATAAACTCTCAAAAGCTGTGGCAATTTTCCGACCCTGCCCGCGAAGGCGTTAGTTTGAGCTCTTTGTCAAAAGTTATAAAATATAATTTCTTTAAACGAACATTTCCAAAACATTTCTATTTTCTTTAAGAAAAATTCTCCTACAAATTTTCTTTATAGAAAAGTCGTCCAAACGATTGAAAATACTAGAGATAACGGGTGTGTTTGGTATGAAAGAAAATATTTTTCGGAAAATATTTTCCAATTTTCTCATATTTGGTTGGCTTAAATGTTTTCCAAAATATTTTTCTCATCAATTTCATTTTCCTCCAATTGGAGGAAAATGTTTTCTCTATCAAGAGAAGGGAAAATATTTTCAAAACCCTTTTTGTTATTTCCCGCCCTATTTTTTTCATTTTAACAAAAAAAAAGTACTATCTTTTATGACGTAAAAAAAGTATTTTCTTTCATTTCAACAAAATAATGTAGTAAAAAGTATTTTCTTTTCATGATGTAGAAAAAATATTTTCTTTCATTTCAACAAAAAAAGTATTTTATTTTCATGCTGTAGAAAGAGTACTTTGTTTTTGAACCAAAAAAGAATATTTTCTTTTTTGTTATGGAGCACAAATTTCAACGTTATTTTTGCGCAAAAAAAGTAATGCAACACATTAGTTCCTTTAGGTTTGTGTAAATTCTTAGAAGAATAATTAAATTTTTGAAGAAAAATAGAGTTACGAAAACATTGGATATTTGGGGGGGGGGGTAGGGGGGGGGGTAGGAGCATAGAAACATGGGGACTTGGGGGAAGGGGGTGAGTGAGGAGAGTAGCCTAAAAAAAATTCTAAAAAATATTTTCTACTTGCGCTATAAAATATTTTCCGAAAAAAAATTTCACTCACCAATCAAACAAGGAAAAATAAGTCATAAAGCCACTTATTTTCCACGAAAATATTTTTTAGGAAAATATAGAAAACATTTTCCTTTTTACCAATCACACCCAACATGTGTGAATATTGCTAAATTTCCGATTCAGTAATACTTTTAAGAAAGAGTTTGATGCGTACAATATAGGTAACATGCTGCGCATGTTTGAGGTTAAATCATAAATAATCTTTAAAGGTCAAACCAATGACAAAAAGGGCATGGACGAAATTAGAATCGCAATGTCATAAGTTTGATTAAAAATGTCAAATAAAAAAAGAAAAAAAGAAAAATGTGTTAGTCGAAAAAGAGAAGCATGTTTGTGTCATGCAAATATTATTCAATAAGCTTTGAATTCTCTCTACCATGAACCTTACTCCATTTGTTTCTTCATCCCCAATACCTCCTAAACCACCGAACATCAACTGCACCACCATGAATTCCACTGCTTTCTCCTCTCCAAATTTACTATCCCAATCACAAACCTATTCTGAGGGTTGTATGAATATTGACTCACACGAACCGCCATCAACTCCTTCTCAATTTGTTAAGAAACCATACCTAAACACCCTTCTATCTCACAATACAACCTCTTCACAGACGAATACAAATGGTTCACTAAACTTTTCAATAGATACTACTGATGAAACTGAGGCACCAACTGATCCCTCCATCTTTATACCACTATCACTTGAAGAAAAAATAAGAATTTACACACCATGGCAACATGCAGTCATTATCAAGGTATATGGTAGAAAAATTAGCCATCAAATACTAAGGCAAAAATTATATTCTTTATGGCAGCCAACGGAAAATCTACCACTCATAGACCTAGGTTCAGATTTCTTCCTAATCAAATTTCAAAAAGAAGAAAATAAGATTCATGCTTTGTATGATGGACCTTGGTTTATTTTAAATCATTTTCTATCCGTTCGCCAATGGGAACCCAAGTTTATGGCATCAGAAACAAAAATCAAATACTCTGCCATCTGGTTGCGATTACCAGAATTACCTACTGAATTTTATGATTTTCAAATTCTTCAGAAATTGGAAATAAAATTGGAAAATTACTCACGGTTGATACTTGCACTTCATCCACTACAAGGGGACGATATGCAAGGTTATGTGTTGAGGTTCCATTAGATCAACCATTAAAAACACATATTTTTATTGCTAATCACAAGCAAACTATCCTCTGCGAAGGCTTAAACATGCTGTGCATTAAGTGTGGTAGATTGGGCCATAATCAACGTAATTGTACCTCCCCAGTACCAACCATAAATACTTTGGAGTTATCTTCTTTGAATACTTTGAACACTACAGACCCTATACCTTCTAACCTTCCCTCCCCGTTGGTTGAAGAATGGAAAATAGTACAATTTCCTAAAAAATCCAGCATGAGGATGTCTCACCCCAGAGAAAATCCAACACAATCATTTCCTGCTTCTATGCTAAGCCCTACTCGACCATCAGGTAAGTCTGCTACTAATTTAAACTCGTCTACTACTCTTAATAATCTACCCTTCACTAATCTTTCTCTTGATCATAATAACAATCCTCTTAACTCTAGAAATAATACAACCATATCCCCAACCTATAAATCTTCTCTTAATAAATTTGAATTACTTAGCTCCACTGACCCCACAACTGATAAAACCCTCCCTAATCCTAATGACAAGGACAAATTAAAACCGCTCATTACAACTCAAATGCTTCTAGATACTTTTACCCACTCAGCCCACTTACAAACACCCCGAATTCCAACACCTATCAAAGCCCATGCAAAGGGCCACGATACCCCACCCCACATGCAAGCCCAATCACCTAATTCTAGTCCCTCCACCTCAGCAACCACCTACAACCTATCCCAACCCCCATGCATGCATTCACCTCATTCTCTGCATACCACCACACCCTTCCCACTTATTAACCCTACAATAGCTCCCATGCAAATAGCTAATGATGAACACCTTGCTTCTACCATCTCAAACACTCCATCTAAATCTCCAATACAAAATCCAAATCCTTCAATCACACCGCCTACATCCACCACTGTGATAGCTTCGACTATAGTTCAACCTTCACATCCATTATCTACCATTTCCAATCCATTGTCATCTTCTCTGCACTTAAATAATGTTTCCACAAAGCCTAAATCATTTACGCAGACCACCCACCAACATTTCCAAGCAACCAGTTCATCGTCTTCAACACCAACACACTCCACACTCACTTCCCCCCTCCAATCTCATAATGGAGCCAAATACCATAATTTACACAGCTCAAACTCCATTTGCACCGACAAATACATTATCTTGGCTCGAGATAGGTCTTCAGAACCATGCACTGACTTTCACCATGGAGTTTCACAACCAAGAAGTGACTATTTTAATAAACAATCCGAGGGACCTTGCACAAATAGTAACAGAGGGAATGCAACTGGGGACAGACATCTATGGAAGATACCACTGGTCCATGATGCAAGCCCCTTACCTTGCCCCATATCTGCATCTCCCAACTCCATACTGGGATCCGGCCCATCTTCACCCTCATCTTCTCCAAATGCCTTTTTTACCCCACTCCAACTCCCACAACACCTTGGATCCAACCCTACTGGGTTCCACAACCACAGACACCATTAATGGAACCAGTAACACCTCCAACTCAATCACCCCCACAGTCACCACCACCCCCTCTCAATCCACTCGCACAAGACTTGGAATTTCAAGCAGAACTAGAAGCAGCAGTCATCTACAACAGGGAAACAAGGCCAATTCATGCTCTGCTCGATGGAATCAAGGTGTTTGTCCAAAAGGAGGAGTACGAAAGAAAGATTTACATAAGGTGTCCGCCCAACCTACTGAAAGCTTCATTTCGCCTAAGGCCAACAACAAATCCAGACGTGGGCAAATATGCCATGTTATTCCTACCAACTTTACGACTGCGTCCAGGCCACAACAACAATATCAGGATGCATGCAAGGAACGACCAGATGTTGGATCAACCTGAAAGCCATATGAACTTTATTATATAGAATTGTAGAGGAGTTGTTTCCTCTGAGTTTCGCCGCAATTTTAGGTCATTACTGGATTACAACCGCCCATCTTTGGTGGTTCTGTTGGAAACCCACTGTCACACACATCAGACTTTGAAGGAGGATTTTATTTTCATAGGAATGATCGAAGTGGCAGCAATAGGTCAGTCAGGTGGTATTGTCTTATTATGGCTTGCTGATGTTCTTACAGTTGAACCTATAGCAACGACTGCATAAGAAATTCACTGTCACATTCAGGTATACCCTTTCTCATTTAAGTGGTTTTTTACAGCTGTTTATGCAAGCACTGATTTGGTAAATAGGCAGACTTTATGGCAAAATCTTAAGTGTGTGTTTGATAATTACAAAGGTCCATGACTTATAGGTGGTGATTTTAATGAAATCCTTACTTCCACTGATAAATTTGGAGGCTTACCTATTAACAATTCACGAGCAAATAAATTTTTGGAATGTTTAAATTGCTGTCAACTAAATGATTTAGGATACAAAGGCGGTCGTTACACTTGGATAAATGGTAGACATAATACGCACAACATTCTAGAACGAATTGATCGTATTAATGCAAACTATGAGTGGATTGCAAATTATCCTAAAGCTTTAGTTACACATCTCCCACGCACACACTCCGACCATTTTCCTTTGCTACTAGAACTAAAGCACTGTATATTACCTAGACAAAATTTTTTTAGGTTTGAGACGATATGGACTACACATCCTCAATTTCCTAGTACCGTAAAACAAGCATGGCTGGATAATTTGCTGTTACTACCAGCCATAGAAAATTTTACAGACATAGTCCAAGAATGGAATACATCCACTTTTGGTAATATTTTTAAGAAAAAGAGGAGGAGTTTGGCTAGGTTAATGGGTATTCAATCCTCTTTAAATTACCCTACAAGCGGGTTCTTACATAATTTAGAGCATCAATTAAAACTAGATTTTAACCACTTATTAACGCTTGAGGAGCAATTTTGGAAGTTAAAATCCCGTATTAGTTGGTTAAATGATGGCGATGCGAATACAAAATTTTTCCATCTTACAACTTTAAATCGTCGCAGACATAATCGTTTAACAGCTCTGCAAGATCAAGGGGGAAACTGGATCACTGATCCTCAATTAATTAAAAATAACATTAAAACTTATTATCAAACTCTTTTCCATACTCAACAATTTTCCTCTAAAAATACCACGACAATCCAGCACTCCAATATCTTAACTCATGCGGATTGTCTGTCATTAACTACACCTTTACAAAATCATGAAATTCTAGCTGCAATCCATTCCTTCAGACCTTGAAAGCACCGGGTCCAGATGGTCTTCACCCGCTCTTTTATCAAAAATACTGGGATACCATAGGTAGCTCTGTCAAGTTTTTTTGTCATAAAGCTTTCCTAGATCATCACATAAATCCTGCCATTAACACAACTTATATTTGCCTAATTCCTAAACATAAGCATGCTGCTACAATAACTCAATATCGACCTATCAGTCTTTGTAATACTATTTACAAAATTATAACCAAGATAATCGTAAATAGGTTAAAACCAATCTGGGAACACATTATCCACCCAACTCAATCTAGTTTCCAAAAGAACAAACGAGCAGCTGATAATGCTCTTATTGTTCAAGAAATCATTAAAAAATTCCAAACATTGAAGGGTAATAATTTAAATATGCTCCTTAAATTGGACCTTGAAAAGGCTTTTGACATATTAGAATGGTCTTTCATCCACAACTCTTTAGTAGCCTTAAACTTTCCTCAAACTATTATTCAATTAATTATGTCTTGTATAACAACAACATCCACTTCTATTCTAATTAATGGACACCCTACTGAATTTTTCACATCAACTAGAGGTATACGTCAGGGGGATCCATTATCACCTTATCTGTTTATCATTTGCCTAGAAATGCTTTCAAGAAAAATAAATATGGAAGTAGATTACAAAAATTGGTTACCAATAGCATTGGCTCATAGCGGTCCTCAACTATCTCATTTATTTTTTGCTGACGATATTATTCTCACAGCAAAAGTAACCTCTACTACGTGTAAATCAATTCTCCATACTTTGGCTCAATTCACTAACTTATCTGGACAAACTATTAACTTTGACAAATCAAAATTTTTTTTTTCAAAAAAACTGCAAATCTGCAACTAGAACATCGGTACTACAACTTTTTCACATGAATGAGGGGAAAAGTTTTGGCAAATATCTAGGATTCCCTATTTTCATCAAACAACCAACAAAAAGGGATTACCAATTTTTAATTGACAACTTTAAAAATAAGTTGGCCGGTTGGAAAATAATTTTTTTATCAAAAGCAGGAAGGACTATTTTAATTCACTCTACTTTAAATCACCTTCCTAATTATATTATGCAATGCATTAAAATTTCAACTTATATAATATCCCATCTAAATCGATACCAAAGAAATTTTCTCTGGGGTACATCTCCTTAGCAGAAAAAATTACATCTTATTAAATGGAGCACAATTACTCAACCTTTAGTACAAGGGGGATTAGGAATACAAAACCTAGCTACTAAGAACAAAGCCTTACATGCAAGTCTTGCATGGAGACTATTTCAAAATTCACACCAATTATGGGCACATGTTCTCCTCCACAAGTATCTACGATTATCAAACTCACTTAAAGCCAATACCTCCTCTACTTAGCGCAATATTATGACTGGATGGTCTCACTGTCGATTAGGCTACCAATGGAATATTATGAACGGCCAACACATTCAATTCTGGTCAGATCCTTGGATCCAGCCTAATCTCTCGATTCGTAATTGTCTAACGGGACCTCTACCTTGTCTTGAAGAAAAAAAATTAGTCTCCCATTACTACTACAATCATAGGTGGCACCTTGACAAATTACCTTTTGTTTTACCACCCCAGTTACAATCTAACATCCTCAATATTTACTTGCATTTTTTCCCAACAATACATGATCAAATATATTGGGCTAATACTCCACATGGACAATTCTCGGTTAAATCTATTTATAACTATCTTATAAAACCCACAACCTCACAATATTCTTATAAATGGATTTGGACACTTCCTATCCCCCCAAAAATATCCTTCTTCCTCTGGTTACTTTGCCATAATAGATTATCCACACCGGTGTATCTTACACATTTAGGAATTATAACTTCTTCCTTATGCACACAATGTCATCTAGCCCCTGAAAATATAATTCATCTCTTTTTTGAATGCTCACATGCAAATCGCTTATGGACTGACCTTCATCACTCTTTTCCCCATCCCACTTCCAATACATCCATAATACTTGATATCATTTGGTTACACCAATTCATACACACACCATTAGCAAATACTCCCCATAAAATACCTTCTACAACTTTTATCCCATTTGTACTATGGCACATTTGGGTTACAAGAAATAAGAACATTTTTGAACATCAAAGAATTCATTTAAATCTACCTTTCATTATTAATAAGGCAGCAGAATACTACTTTCTAACCACACCTAAGACCACTCATAAGTATACAACTTCTCTATACATAAAATGGCATCCTCCTATAGGTTCTACTTATAAGTTAAACGTTGATGGCTCTTGCTCATATAACCACCAACAGTATGGTATTGGAGGCATTTTTCGCGACCATCAAAGCCATTGGATTTTAGGTTTCTCAGACAAAGCAAACCCCAGTACAAGTGTTCAGACAGAACTTCTTCCACTCCTAATGGGGTTAAAGCTGGCTGTGCAACGGCACCTCCAACCTCTTGCTATCGAAACAGATGCACATGCCATATTAGGTATGTTTAGCTCGACTACTACTATGCCATACACTAACATAATTCATGATTGCAGGTTACTCCTTCTACAGCTGCATAGCCCTCCTATATTAGCTATCTACAGAAAGCAGAATGGTGTTGCAGATACATTAGCTAAATATGGATCCATCCATGCACAAGAGAAGTGCTTACTTTTTGACACACCACCATCTTTTGCAGAGTCTCCATATTATAACGACAGTAGCGGTATATTACAAAGGAGACTTGTTCTAGCAACTTCCAGTATTTCCACACAACTGCCCTCTGCTACTATTAGTTTGTGTAATAGTCGTACTATCTCTAGTAATAATAGTGTAGTCTCTACTTTTAATTTTCAGTCTACTAATGCTTTCCCTAGAGGAAGCTTGGTTGTAAACCCTAGTTTAGCAACTATGATGCCATTTGTGCATCTGCTAAATTCTCATGTATCTGGTTAGTGTTTATATAATATAAAAATATCCTTTTGACCAAAAAAAAATGAAAATATTATTCACAAATAAGGGTTTTCTTATTTTTAGTTGCTATAAAATAATATTTATCACGATTAAGGGAACCCTGGATTTCCTCACCTTTGGACATAATTTTACTTCACATTTATCTCAACTCTTAGCTTCATATCGCTCTTTTATCCAACAGTTAAACAAATTATCAATCTTTAATAAAGATTTTTTTTAATAAGAGCACCTTTTGACAAAAAAATATGGATCTTGATTTAACTAATTAAACTTGTATAAATAAGGGCAAATCTTTGTTAACAACAATATCCTTGAAAGAAATCCTAATAGTATACCGAATGACGTGCAGATATGTTCTAACAGGAGTGACAACATGCAAATAGTCGAGGGTCAAAATCAAAATAGCAATAATGCAGCATTGAATGTAGATGAACAATAAGAATGATATTTATGTAATAAATGCGAAAGAGTCATCCAAGACAAGATGGAAGTAATGAATATATATTCTTTTTGACAATGATGGGTGATGGACAATCCTTTGAATGTTTGAATTATTCTCGGATCTGGTGGAAAAGTGCATACAAAAATCTTAGCCAAAAGGTTATGTTTATATCCTTGTAATATAATCCGATCCTCTCCTTTAAAGTCAATGAGTATTTTACCGATGAATCTCACACTTGTCCCTTATAATTGTGCCTCTTTCTATTTATAGAGAACATGTTTAAAAAATCCTAATAGTACAAGTACAGAGAATATCCACTAGAATATTCTCTAGCCGTTATAATTCTGTCAAGGGCATTCGACCTCGGTCCTTGACGACTCTTCGGCTTCAGCCCTCATTGACTCTTCGATCACGACCTTCATAGTTGATTAGATCGCCTCGACCCTTGGCGACCTGGGGATGCTTTACCGACATCGTTTTGACTTGTATTCTAGAGATAGATTTTGACCCACACAAGCACCATTAGCTAAATTAATTCTCAATATTTACTAGTAATAAATGACCAAAAAACATTTGTCATAAAATTAATTATTTATCGACAATATTTTCAGTTGTATCAAACACACGTGACACGTCTGTCTGTCCCACGTGCCTCCACTGCTATGCAAAAACTTTTTCTTTTTTTCCTCATTACTGCCCTAAGACTTTACTTATTTGTATTTCAGTGCTCAATTAACAATTATCTCCTCGCTACCTTTTCTTCTTCATATCGCCCGCGAGTCAACTCTCATTCACTGAATCTGAATCTGACTCAGATTAAGCTGTGAGTAACCATATAAACCCTTTTTAATTCTGTGTTTTCTAATTCAATAATTTGAACAATTTTACTGATTTACTTAATTGGGGTGAAACCAACCTCATTTGTGTACATGCATGTCTCAAGAATTATGTACATCTTGGATTTAATATTTATTATACTCATTTTTGTTAATATAATTGACTGAAAAGTTTGAAATTTTCCTCCTTTAGGGTAATTGCTATGTTTTATTTGTACTTCTGTTTTGTGCTACGGTTTCCTGAAATTTAAAAAAGATCTTTTGTGTGCTAATTTGATTTTTAGAAATATGCCCTTAATGTAGTGTTTTAAACTATTTTAATGGGTTACTCAAATGGGGTGCCACCAGCTTCATTTTTGTATATGCATGTCTCAAATATTATGTATATCTTGGAATTAATACTTATTTTACTCCTTTATGTAAATATTAGTTACTGAAAAGTGTGAAAGTCTCCTCCTTTAGGGTAATTACTGTGTTTTATTTGTACTTCTGTTTTGTGCTACATTTTCCTGAAAATAAAAAGGGATCTTTTTGTGTGTTAATTGGGTTTCTAGAATTATGCCCTTAATGTAGTGTTTTTGAACTATTTTAATGATTTACTCAAATGGGGTGCCACCAGCCTCATTTGAGTATATGCATGTCTCCAGAATTGTGTATATCTTGGATTTAATATTTATTATACTCATTTTTGTTAATGTAAGTGACTGAAAAGTTTGAAAATTTCCTCCTTTAGGGTAATTACTAAGTTTTATTTGTACTTATGATTTGTGCTGCATTTGCCTGAAATTAAAAAAGGGTCTATTATACTCCTATATGTAAATAGAACTGACCGAAAAGTGTGAAAGTCTCCTCCTTTAGGGTAATTAGCATGTTTTATTTACACTTATCATTTGTGCTACATTGGCCTGAAAATAAAAAGGATCTTTTGTGTATTAATTGGATTTTTAGAGACATGCGGTTAGTTTTCATCTCCAGATATTCTTTTGGGATTTGATATTTTTGTGTCCTTTGAAATTTTACTCATTCTTTTTAGTTCTTTTTTTACTAGCATTACTTTCCCCGAGTTAGACACCTAGTTGTGTTTGGTACTAAGGGAAATGTTTTGAAAATGATTTCCTGGAAAATGTTTTCACGGTTTTTGTTTGGTGAATGCAAAATTTTTTCTGGAAAATATTTATTAAGGATTGATAGTAAGAGGCAAGAATTTGGCTAATGTTTTGCTTTGGAAATTCGATGAAATTTCTTAGTGTTAAAGATTGATAATATTGTCTAAGTGTTGGGTGGAGCAAATATATGGATTAAGAGTTGCAATATTTGTAAAGGAAAATGTTTTACGCCATAGGTGAAGAAATCAATTTTCCCTTTTGAGAGAAATTTTCTTCCATCATAAGTGTTGTCCAAAAACTTCATCATGGAAATATTTTATAGGAAAATTGTTTTCCTTCATGCCAAACACATTGGAGGAGTTGTCTTTTTCATTAGAATTAGAATGAAATACAGCTGAATAGAGTGGAAGGCCTAGTTGATTTATGACTTCCCCTTATTTCACTATGATTCTTCTACTCACTTTTTGTGCCCCGTTTCCATAAAAATGTAGTAGGTGTATGACAGTTTCCCTTTCTAGTTTTTGATAGATCATCGAATTAGTTTTCAACTTATCTTTACAAGTGAAGTAAGATGGGAATTTGTCAACCGTGGAATAGCTCATCGAGTAACTCCACTCTTTCTGTTAATTGCAGATCACAGGAAAGGGTCCTTTGGTCAAGCAGTTGAAGAAATGGTAGCCCAGGGAGAAGCTCACCCCTACGTTCCTCAGGATCTAAAATTGCCCGATTTTGTTCCCATATTTCTCTCACAGTCACACATTGTTGGTGTATATGGCCTCTCATCCTTCCTCGTTGTCTTGTTCATGTGGATACTCTCAGGTAATTATTCAATGATCATTGCATTATTTATTGCAAGCAGTTCACCCTGCTTTTTCTGATATGCTTTTAATTTAGAAGCAGTTAGATTTCTCATTATTCTTTTTCTGAAGTATACTCTAGTAACTGTTTAGAAGTAGAATTGAGTATGAAAGAGTATTCTGGCAATTGATGCAACCTTGATCAAACATTTCATTGTTCAGAGTTCAGACAGGAAAGTTACTGCAAGATCACTATTTTTGTCAGTTCTTTTCCCTTTAGAGATAATAATTGCCGTTGACATGCTTCCAAAAGTATCAATACAAGTGAAAAAAGAGAAGCTAGTTTGATGTTAGTGTCAATCCGTAACTTTACGGACTTGTGAACGTGATTAAAGAAGATATAGAACCATAACCTCAAGTTATACAGTTTATTGTATGCCTCAGAAGGACTTAAAGCGGTCTCAACCATTTTTTCATTCTTCAATTAAGCATATCCGACCCCATGGTGTTGGTTTCATGTTCTCAAAATCTAGTTAATGATAAATACAACAACAATAACAACTATTCCTCAGTCCCTAACAAGTAGGGGTCGGCTATATGAATTCTCACTAACCACGGTTCTCCATTTAAACTCAGTAGTGAATGATAAATGAGGACATAAAGTAATATCATGTTGGCATGGGTTCGGAGATTTCTATCTCTACAAGGTTTGAAAAAAGTGTGATCAAGTGAAAAGATTTCTTTACAAGTTCTATACTAGTTCAAAAATTCAGCTGCATTAATGTTATAAATTTCTACATGCTAAGTGCATCCTTGCTGCTTGTGTGGTGCTTTTCTTTCCCCATTGTGTCCTCGCCTCGTTTTCTAACTTCATTTCTCCATCTTTTACTTAATAGGGTTTGTTCCTAAATTATCAAAGACTGATAGGGTGCTCATGTGTTGGTGGATTTTCACGGGCCTAACACACATGGTCCTTGAGGGGTATTTTGTTTTTACTCCAGATTTCTACAAAAAGACTACTCCGGTTTACCTTGCTGAAGTCTGTAAGTAACAATTTAGCAAGTCTTTCATCCAAACCAGAACAGTTTATTTCAGTTAGGAAATATTGTTGATTTGGCCTATAAAGTACCAACAAAAACAAAATTTTGCAGGGAAAGAATACAGCAAAGGTGATTCAAGATATGTAGGGCGGGATTCTGGAGTTGTTAGTGTTGAAGGAATTACAGCTGTCATAGAGGGGCCAGCATGCCTTCTTGCAGTGTAAGTATCATTGTTGAGAGATATTAAGTTGTCATGCACCTTGAGATTGGCACAATAAATGTGTTTTTCCTAAGGGGTCGTTTGGTTCACGTACTAGTTTATGCATGGATTATAATGCAAAGTGTTTTATGCGGGAAACAACAATAAAGGGATTATTTTGCATTGAATAATAATGTAGGATTATTTTGCGGTGAGTAATTATAATACATGGAGTAACTTATCAAAAAAGTAAATAATACAGGGAATATAAAGTAAGGATTACTTGCTTTAAGTGTATTTTTGTCTATAAATACTTTTATGCTCGTAATGCGAATACACTATTCTTATTCCACATTCTATCCCGCATAAAATAACACATAAATTCTCGTATAACTTAGTGCAGGTATTTTTGATAGCGTCAACTAAACACTGCATTAGTTTATCTGATGATTATTTATTTTCTTATCTGATGATTAATTATGCGGAAGATTATTTTTCCCAATTTCTTTAGCCAAATATTTTACTATTATTTTATGTGAGATTTGATGCTGGGATTACTTCTACTAATCCATTCAATCAAACGACCCCTAAAAGTATATGGACAGAGCATGAGTATGCATTCATATCTACTTCTGTAAACCTCATTGTGCTCTTGGTATTGACATTGGCAGGTATGCTATAGCTGCTAAGAAGTCATACAGGCACGTACTTCAAATAGCCATTTGTTTGGGACAGCTCTATGGCACGGCCGTATACTTCATAACAGCTCTATTGGAAGGCGATAATTTTGCTGCAAGCCCCTTCTACTACTATGCTTACTATGTTTTTGCAAATCATTTCTGGGTTTGGATACCAACTCTCATAGTGATACATTGCTGGAAGAAAATATGTGCTGCAGTCAAGGTCCACGAGCAGAAGACCAAGACTCGCTGAGGTGATTCTAAATATTTGAATCCAAATGCCTCAACTGAATAACATTGTCACAATTTTCTTCTCCTGGTTCTCTTTTATGGTTGTTAAATTTAATTGGCTGCATCAGAAACAATGCTGGAATATTATTTAGATGAGATGTCCTAAATATCTGATCGTTCCTGCAGAAATATTGTCATTCTTGCTTCACATCATTAAAAAGCATTTTGAAAACTAAGACCAAAGCTATTATATTTCTCTGTCCTCCGTCCATATTTCTTAGTTTAGCGTATTTTTTAAATACTACCGGGTTGCATGAAAGAAAAGATAAAAATGGTATGATGCCAAAATAAATTTAGCATTTTTGCAACTTGCAGTATTCATTAGTGCGGTAAATTCACTGTACATTACTATATTACATGTCTTAGACAACAGGGAAAGTCTTCCTTATGATTTTTTCCTGTCCATCAAAACCAAACGATAAAAAAAGAAAGATTGAAATAGCAGTTCCCCTTACAAGTGTCTGTTGACTTAGCCGTACATTTGACCTACCAGACCAACAACAACAACAATACCCTAGTATAATCTCACAAGTGGGGTCTGGAGAAGGATAGTCTGGTTCCAAAGATGGAAAACAAGGTAGGAGTCAGTGGTGGCGAAAGGGGAAAAAAAGAAGAAGATCTTGTTGAGTTAGTGCCCTGGTACTGGTCATAGTTATCTGGTAGTACCATCTTTGTGGGAGGTAGCAAATGTCTGATAGAATTGATAGTTGAGGTACACACAAACTAATCCGGACACCTCTTGTTGAGTTACTGCCTCGGTAGCGGTCATAGTTATTTGGTACTTATGTTTGTGGGAGGTAGCAAGTGTCTGATAGGATAGTTGAGGTGTATGCAAACTAATCCTGACACTACTCTTATTAATAGAACTACAGAAGCTTGAAAAATCAAACCGAAGGAAAACAACTATCGACCAGTCTTGTCTTCGTAGGGGTGGACGTGTAGGGATGGCAATGGGGCAGGACGAGGCGGGTGCGGGGAGGATTTGGCAAAACCCACAAAAATTTCAACCCGCCCAGCCCCGCATAGTTATTTTTTCCAATTTTCAATCTGCCCCGCCCCGCCCCACTTATTTTTTTTCTACAACAAACTAGTTTGATATTTTATTATTTTATAAAATAGAGAGTTTAATAGAATCACATATATTATTATAGCAAAGAAAAAATTTACAAAGGATATGTATTACAGCGAATATGTATTTTTAAAAAGGATATGTATTTTGTACAAGGTAATTTTAAAAAGGATATGTATGATCTGCTTTTGCAAAAAACAATGAAAAGTAGAACAAACAAATAAGAGAGAGCAATTATTCACAAAGGGAGACACAGTACGTGTTCGGCAACCAATATCAATTCAGCGATACTAAATATTGCCCCGCGTTAAACCCGTAACCCACCCCGCCCCGCTTTAAAAATTTTAAAAATTATTTTAACCTGCCTCGCACTCGCATAAGAGTAAGCCCGCCCCCCTCCACATCAAACAAACGCGCCCCGCCCCGCCCCCGCCCCGCCCCATTGCCTTCCCTAAGGACGTGTGCATGGGTAAATGCATACCATGCAGCAGAAATATTAACCAGAAGACTAGACACCGCCAGGACTATGAGGAAAGTAATTGAAACAATAGTAGATTTAGCCCCACAGAATAGCATCCCAGTCTTGATCTCAACCACAATCAACATAGAAACCATGAGAAACAAGCACCACAGAACAGGTAGTGAGAGATAATTAATACACATAACAAGTGAAAGTAATAACCTGTAAGTAACATGCGGCAGCATATTAAATTGTAAAAGGGCAGCCTAGTGCATGAAGCATCCCGCGTTTATGCAGGGTGAGTCTGGGAAGAGCCGCACCCCAAGCGGGTGTGATGTAGGAGGCTACCCTGATGCAAGCAGCAGTGGCTGATTCCACGGCTCGAGCCCGTGACCTATATTTCACATGGAGACAACTTTACCGTTGCTCCAAGGCTCCCCTTCGCAACATATTAAATTGTACAGATAGCTTAACAATTCACTTACGCTGATATCTAGCTGCATAAATCCGATCAATGAAGAAAAATGATTCAGATGTAATCATTGAAGAGCTCTTGTTCAATATACAACTTTCATTTCCAATTCAACATTCGGAATAGTTACATCAATTGCAAGATTTAAAAGATCTACTTGACATAGTAAGGAAGATCAAGGACATAAAGGAGGAAATAAGCCCAGGTGACACCAGAAATTCCACCAAAAAAGAATCCACCTGTGAACTTAGACCATCCCTCTGCTGTTTGCAATTGGTCAGGCACTTTTTTCCTGCCAGTCAATGTCAATGCTGGTGCTGTTGATGCCTCTCCTTCTTTGAATGATGATATTCCATAAATAGTCAAACACATGCTAAGGATCACTACAAGTCCGGCTGCGGCCAAAGAACCAGCTCCCCCTGCATTAATAGTGGCGGATCTAGTTAGGGGTGTCAAATGAGCGGGTTAAATTGAATGAGCAAGTCAAAATGGGCTGAGTTATAAATAGGACGGTCATTAACCCACCCAAACTTGTACGGGTTGTGTCACTTAGACATCTTTGACACAGAACTCAATCAACAAGGTCAAAATGTGCTATTGGGCCCAAAGCCACTAAACCACTTTCTTCCACCCGATTTGAACTGAACCTCGTTCTAGTGAGATTTTATCCCTGTTTTAAACTGAAACTCGGTTGCCTATATGCTCCTTGGTCTAATTGGACCTTTCTCTATAGCTCGAATTGAATAGCTCCCTTGGTTTGGTTGGTTATATAATAGAATTCCGGGAGAAAGTAAGTTAGACCTTACTTAAGGCGAAAGATTTATTGGATGGTATATTAGCAAAATATCACTAAAATTTTAACAAATATCAAATTTCGAGTCTATTTTTTGAAGTACAATTAAGTTCATCATTAAGAATATAAAGATTGAATGCATGAAGTTAAAATTTTGAATTCGACTTTACCTGCATATTCAGTGTTTCTTAATGGACCAGCCTTTACAAATGGGCCAACAAGTAGGAATCCATGGGCCAGGCCCACTTCTACTCCTCGGAGAAGTGGGTTCACTGCGGTCCGGTAGGCCGGTAAGTTGGACAAGTACCAAGCAATCAATGGGCTTGACGTCACTGGAGTTTCAAGACTTCCAATGAAAGGGTCACCATTCAGAGGCTGAATCACTTGGTAAGTTGGCTGCATAACCAAGAAAAAAAAATAAAAAAGAAGATGAAGTAAAGGAGAGTTGTTGAGAATTATGGAAAATGACACTGTATAGCCGGTCTCAAAATAATAGCCGAAAAAATATACTATATATTTTGTATATATATACATTTTGTATGTTATAAACAAAATTTGTACACTTTTAGGCTATCGAATATAAATAGTTTCTGGTGCGAGCTAAAAGTGATAATACCCCGAGAATTATTGACATCCAACAAACCAAAAGTGGGCAGCGCTATATGGTTTGAAGAAGTTTAATCGAATTCCTTTTGTTAGAAAATTATATCAGTGTACATAGATAACAAATTCTTTTAGAGAACATATATAAAAATTGTTGAATCTTTTTTTAAATAAGATATAAACTTCTAGCATAATGGCATATGTGAATCAAAATAGTAGTTTTAGATCGCCCATAAACTACGAGAGGCTCATGTAGCCTATGTTGGATTAATCACTTTCTAGGCCGAGGCAAAAGGTTGAGAATAACTCATTGTTGACTAACATTTATGAATTATGATTACGAATCAAGAAAAGGCAATCGAGCACACAAAGCATTTCGCGTTCACGTAGGGTCGGGGGAAGAACCACACCTCAAGGAGATATAATCTAGGCAGTCTACCCTAATATAAGTAACAATGGCTAGCTTTGTGCACCAGAGAATATAATTTGACATTTAAATATAAATAGGATTTTGTATTTTTCTCTATACTAGCTTAGTAACTTATTCAATTGAAGTTTGTTATATTCTTGGCTCTGCCACTTGGCTAATAAAACGTACTCCCTCGAGTTCAATTTAGATGATATACTTTTCTTATTAATTCGTTCCAAAAAGAATGATATATTTCTATATTTAAAAATAATTTAACTTTAAATTTTTCATTCTACCCACTTTATCCTAAATTAGAAGCTACAAATATTATGGTCCTACTAAGCTTTTGCTATTTAAGCTCTTAGTACCACATGTTATAAAAGTTTATGCTAGCGTTTGGCCATAGATTCCAAATTTTTGAAAAATCTGATTTGGGTGAAGTTTGGTTTGAAGATGAAAATGTATTTGGACGTACATTTTCAAAACATATTTTCCAACTTTATTTTGGAAAAACATGTATATAATTCCCAAGTTTTGGGATTTGGGCCCAAAATCATCTATTTGGCCAAAATATGGGCAAAATTTATGGCCAAACATGAGTTTTGAAAATAAATTCTAAATTTATTTTGGCAAAACTCATGGCCAAGCGGGGCCTAAGTGGGCAATTGGACATAAGAATTGTAAAATTCCAAAATAGGGGGAATTTTTTTTTCAAGTGAAAATGGTATTTGAAATTTAGAATTTTGTTTGGACATGAATATAATTTTGGGTTGTTTTTGAAGTTTTGTGAGTGATTTGAATGAAAATTTTGAAAAATAACTTTTGGGAGTTTTTCAAATTTTCGAAAATTTCCAAAATACATCTTTAAGTGAAAAATTGAAAATTTCACGAACAAACGCTAATTTCGAAAAAATAGTGAAATTTTTTTGGAAAAAAGGGAAAAATTTCTTATGTCCAAACGGGTTCTTGAGTATTTTTTCTTAAACTTTGTGTCAAGTCAAACTAAAAGGGCAGCCCGATATACTACGATCTCGCTATGCGTGGTGTGCGGGGAAGGGCCGGACCACAAGGGTCTATTGTACGCAGCCTTACCTACATTTCTGCGAGAGACTGTTTCCACGGCTTGAACTCGTGACCTTCCAGGTCACATGGCAGCAACTTTACTAGTTACACCAGTGCCAGGTCAAACTAGATCATCCAAATTGAAATGGAGGGCGTATTACTAGTGAAATTCAAGAACATTACAAGAATGAAGAGAAGTGAATTGCTATCTTACCTTGTCTGTTTGGACAGCCTTGATAGTAAAGCAAGATTTTCTAGTTGAAGGAAAGATCTTAAAAGGAGCACCAGAAATGCCTTTGGAAGTAACAAGTCCACTGCC